TATAGAATTTTCTTAGGTGAAGTGAAGGACACTGCATTTTCACACATTCTCCAGGTGATTCTCAGTCAGTCTATAAATTTATACTTTGAGCAGCACTTTACAAAGTAAGCAGGATTTTCATCCCTAGAACTTTCAACCCTAGAAAACCAAAATGCACCTTTCTCTTCCGGTCTGTCAATTACAGTGATAAGTTTGGTCTTTGAGGTACTCATAGTTTTCATTACTTGGACAAGTGACCTAAACTCCATGACTGGATGTTCCTGAAGACAATTTTCACTTTAAAACTAGTGGCAGTGCTTCACTAGGCATTAGAGGCTTCACTGGAACTCTCACACAATCTGGCCAATAGGCCTCCAGAATTGTGGCTTTATCTTGTTAGGGTATAGCAGCCTTTTTGGCTCTCATGATTGGTTTTGGATTTGAACTGACAGAAAGAAAAAGTGCTTTTGTAAATGAAAACCTTTTGCCCTTTCTGCATTCTAGATAAACTTTGTACCATTTCTGTATCATCTTAATTTCTGGAAAAGAGCTTTCAGACCACATGGATTTCATGATATTCCAAGCATGTAACTAAAGCCCATCTTAGGTCTGCTTTGGAGGCAGGAGAGTCAAGAAGAAAATCAAGGCTTGGCAAACTTGCTTTTGTGAGTTCTTGACAGCACTAAGTTCCGTAATGTAGAAATGGATTTGAAATGGAGTTCAGGGTTTGAGGGTCATAGTGCAGGTAGGAGTTCTCTAAGAAAGTCCCTTTGGTAGGATGCGAGTAACTACAGACAGCACTCAGGATTCCTAGAGCCGCGTCACCAGCTGGTGCCACCATATTGTTGACTTTGCAGTGTGGAAATACACCAAACAAAGGAGCAAGGCTGAAGCTCGTTCTCAAGTATGTTGCATGGGACCTAGGTCTGCAAAGGGTCTCTGGCCATATGATTTTGGGAAACACTATAATAGAGTTAAATGAGTTTTCCTGTAGGACTGCTGTGAAAGGTTAATTACTGATGAGTGTTGTGAATCTGTACGATGGGGAATTTTATAGCCGTGGTTAATTCCATCATCCATCAGGGCTGTTTTCTTTAGAAGACCCTTTCAGGATACAATAGTAAAGACAGGACAGTATTACAAATATTGAGCATGTACCATGTGCTGGACACTATGCCAAGGGCTATAAAAATTCCATCTTGGTTTATTCTCACAACTTTCTAAAAGAAGCACTTTGTTTTAGCTCCATTATGCAGATGATGACACTGAGGTTCCATGTAAGTCACTTAAGCCCAGAAGTGGCAGACTCGGAATCTGATTCCAAAAAGGGATTCTATCAGGTTTTTCACCCCAGACGTAGAGTTGTGAAACTGCTTTCAAGCACACAGGCTGTGACTGTTTATTTAGTACTCGCTATATACATCATTCAGTTTTCACAGGAAGACTGTTGTTATCATCGTAAACAGTGCCGTTACTATAATCAACCTAGGCCTTCATGAACAGATCATGATAATTCAGTGCATTTCTGAGTCCTCGCAGGATTTCAGAACCAATGTGTGCCAGCACCCAGACTTAGAAATGCGGACTCACTTACGGAACTGGCATGTCCGTGCTTTACTCTGTGTGTGGGTAATGACAAATAAACTGCTCAGCATTTTCCTTCCCTTTTCTACCTTGTTTAGGCTGCAACTGGAGAGGGATTAATTTATGCTAATTCCACACAACAAGCTAAAGCCCATTTATCACAGGTTTTCATTCCTCAGCAGAATACACGCAAACGCACCTAAGTGTTAGGCAAACTAAGATAATGCAGCTGCTGTTGTGTGCAGCAGTAATAGGCCTTTTTATGTCTCGCTGCCGGTCAGCAAGCAGTGCCTGAGACACGGAAGGCAGTGGTGATCAGTCTCTCCCAGCTCTCCCTGCCGCTGGCCCCCCGCCTGGCTCCAAATGCTACTAAGTGATGCCGAGATGGGGGGCAGCAGACAGCATGCGCTTTAGAACTCAGAATACAGAAGCTCATTTTCCCAAAATACCATGCTAATCACTTACCAGTGCTAATGCTGCTTATTTAGGAATGATGATTTAAGGAGGAATGATTTAGAATTGAATGATTTAAGCCTGTGATGTGGAGATGGAGGATGAGGTAGGTCAGAGAAGGGAGTGCATGTGCGTGTATGTGTGTGCGTGTGCATGCATGTGCACACACACTTTCTTACCAAGAGGCTGGCCAAAGCAATTTTTTTCCTCTTTTCTTTTCCATTTATTTCAAATGCCAGCCCTTTCAAGTAGGCTTAGTATTCTTCCTGGCAACTCCATAGCACTGATTTCTGCTGATTCTGAAAAAGCATGCAAGCAGGAATGAGAAGTTTCCTAATAAAGCTAATCTGCCTCTAAACCATCTTAAACAGAGAGGCCCCTCCCTGAACCTGTATTTGTTCCCTGTCAAGCTAAGGTTTGCATCAGAGGATTACCTAGAAAGTATCTTCCCACTTTTATTTCCTGGTGTGTGATGACACTATTGTGATAATGTCAAGAAAGAGAAAGACCTTCTCTTTTAGAGTTACAGATGGAATTACCGATAGCTAAGATTTGCTTTAGAATAATCCAACAGTTGGGGTTGTTGGGCCTAGATGGGGAGAAATAAAATAATATTGTCTGTGGGTTCACGTTTGTTGAAGTCAGGTGCTGGGTACATTTCTTGATGCACATGTACCATGTATGCATGCACACATGTACAATATGTATGAACATATACATGTCCGAGTGTAAGATTGTGTTCCATGATTCTAACTGGTCCCGTTAAGACTTGGTAATATTTTAACTCGCGCCACTTAATTTGCTTCTCACACTGTAGGTTCAGCCCTACCCCCTATTCTCAGATAAATGTTTTTAAATGTCTGGTATCTTCTACTGAAATTAGCTCCAGGTGTGTGTGTTTGAGCTAGGATTCGGTTTTAAGGCTTAGTTCTTTCACTTCCTAGTTCTGTATCCTTTGGAATGACATTAACCAGTGTGAGCCTCACTATTCTTATCTGTTCAGCAGAGGTCACTGTCCCCGCCTTCCATTTGTGTGAGTCAGTCGTGATAATGTCCATGAAAAACAAAAAGCGTCCTCTTCTCCAGTGACATCCAACCAGTTCTGGTGTGAGTTCTCAAGTGTTTCCGGACTCCTTTGCCGATGGCACTGCTTTTGTCTAAGTGAATGAAAGACACTTTCATGTTCTCATTCTGACCTGGAAGCACATTGGCCTTGGCCATTTCACCACAGCCTCCCACACACAGACTCCCCTACGGGCACCGCACAGCACAAGCGCTGCTCAAGCGCTGCTCGATTTACACAGGAGAGAGGATCACAGGGGTTGCTTAGTTTCCCTGCTTCCAAAAAGCTGATTCTACTGAAACAATTAAACCCGTTTTCTGAGAAAGAGGACTTGATCCCTGATTCCCACCAAAATGGCTTGGTGTCTGGAACAGTGCTTTTCACTGGCACCAAGCGGCTGGAATGCAGTCCTAACCAGACAGAGCAGAAGCACCTCGCATCTTGTTGGAGAGCATCAGTATGCCGTCACCAAGTCCTGAACCTTTTGTACCCAGGTGATCAGGATGTTGCCTTCTTGGCTCTCAACAGAGACAAACCGCAGGAAATGGTGCTTGAAGGTCACCCACATTTCCGACTATCAAACTTGACTTAAATGATGGAAGATAAAGGTCAGCATGCAGCCTCCTGAGGTGTGTGTGTGGTTTGCCTTTTATGCTTGAGCTACGCTATATTTGCAAAATGTCAGTTTTTGAGAGGTTGAAAATTAATTGCAAACAAAGCCCTTAAAGCACGAACAGTTTGGCCCTAAGATTGCGGAGGACTTGGAGGTGGAGAGAGATTCTACGCTCTGGGAGCAAATTCAGGGCCGGAGGACTTTTTTGGATGCAAAGGCATATGTTTGGCCCAAGAGGAGAACTCACTGCATCTGAGAGGCTGGTGCTTCTTGGCGCGAGCTGTCAGGACTTTGGGAGGTTGTAGAGATGACTCCGAATTGTACATCCCTCTTGCCTGCATCACTCTGGCTGCTCTTGTGAAATACACACTTAGCTATCAGTTTCCTGTGTGCCGAAGAAATAAGGATGCTCCAGCCTTATGAGTCCACTCCTTATTCTTTGTCTCATGTGACGGTTGTGGGGACAGTAGAGAAAGAGGAGGGATAATTCATAAAAATCTCCCTGTTGGTTTTTCTGGTGATGTGCATTGCTTAGTGTGAGGAAAGCTTGCATTCAAGAGTATAGGAAAATGTGGGGCACCTGGGTGGCTCAGTCTGCTAAGCGTCCGACTTCAGCTCAGGTCATGCTCTCAAAGTTCATGAGTTTGAGCCCTGCATCAGGTTCTGTGCACACAGCTCAGAGCCTGGAGGCGGCTTCGGATTGTGTGTCCCCCTCTCTCTCTGCCCCACCCCTGCTTGTGCTTTGTCTCTCTCTGTCTTTCACAAATGAATAAATATTAAAAAACAACTTTAAAGAGTATAGGAAAATGTAATAATTATAGTCTTATAGGGGTTGATTAAAAATAATAGCAGCAGCAGTAGTAATAAACTGTGAAACTTATGGAAGACTTACTACATGTCTAGTACTGTTATCAGTGCTTTATATACATTAATTCATCTGGTCCCTACAAAACCTGGTGAGGTATATACTGCTATCCTCATCTCACCACTTAAGCCCATTAAGTGAAATAACATGCCTAGAGTCACATAGCCAGCACGGGGTAGAGCAGGCCTAGAATCCACGCAGTCTGGCTCCAGGGTCTGTGTTTCCAGTCATCCACTGCACTTCCTAAATAGGCCAGCTAGAACATTCTGGGGGCTAGGACAGGCTCAAATGCCCCCAGGCGTCAGCCATGTGGCATGCATCTGTGTGCAGACTCGACCTGGTTTCCTGGCACTCACCATGCCTCCATGAGGAGATTGGGAGCCTCGTAAGGAGTCAGGCATGTCCCCATCTCTGCCCTTGACAATGCCTGTTTTCTCCCCTAGCTCCACTGGTAGACCTCACTCCAACTCACAGTGGATCTGCCATGCTGATGCTGCTCTCGGTGGTGTTTGTGGGGCTGGCCGTGTTCGTCATCTACAAGTTTAAAAGGTACGTGTCCATCTACCCACGTCTTTGCGCCCCCCCAACCCCGCCCCGTCCTTCTCCCTGACAGGTTCGGAAGTATGAAATGCCGTGACGTACGTCTCCCACGCCTGGTAGTGATGCTGTCTGTTAATGTTTTAGGAAGATCCCGGGGATTAATGTTTATGCCCAGATGCAAAATGAGAAAGAACGAGAGATGGTCAGTCAAGTCAGTCACCCTGAAAGCAGGCCCCATATCCCTCAGACTGAACTCAGGAGGCCTGGCCAACTGATAGATGACAAGGTGGAATCCCAGCTCATAGGTAAATGATTCCCAGTAGCCATCAGCTGTTCAACCTGGCTAGTCAATGGCTGACTCTGCCTAACCCCTTTCTCGCTTGACGTAACCCCTTTCTCCTGCTCTAACATTCCTGAGAGAAACAGCTAAAATGTCTTTTTCCCTGCTTCCTCCCATTGGAATGAGGGGGGCGGGAAGAAAGCCTTCTTGCTCCTATGTAGTTTTCGTCCCCTCTCTTGTGACTTTATTCTTCTTGTTGCAAAAACCCTTGCTCTAAAATATGGGGCTTCAAAAATGTTCACGGGCAAAGTGCAAAACATTTGCTCTAACAATGAACAAGAATGACAGGCCTCAGAGGCTGGCTCTGGTCATCCGGAGGGCCGGGCAGCTTTTGAGGAGCAGGGTACAGAATAAGACAGGGCAGCCTCACCTATAGACGACTCTGAGGAGGGCAGATTACTCCAGAATACTTGTAGAGAAGTGACACAATAGAGGAGAGCGGGGCTGATGACCCTTGGGATTTTTTTTTTTCTTTTTTACTTCAGCAGTCCTCTAACAACTGTCCTCCAGGAAACACGGACCCTGGGAATTTTGAGACCAAGAGGCATAAAATTTGTAGAACGTCCCAGGAGTCAGGTTCCCTAAAAGGAAACCGCAGGAGGGCTAGACTGTTACAGAGCAGATCGGCAGAGTCTCTCCTCCTTTTTACCTGCCCCCTGTCAGAAGTCTTAATACGGACCTTACCGTGTATCAGTAGAGCTCTCTCTCTGCCTATGAATTAAACATGGGAGCCCAACAGCTAGGTCTAGAGTCATACTATTTATGGCAGAGGAAACTCTCCAAGGGAGTTTGACAGACCCACGGGAACACCATTGGGATCCAGGGCTTGCCTTGTTTCCTCCTGTCTGTTGGTGTCAGGAATCAGGAAGCTGTAATATTGCCACCTAGATCCTGCATTGCTGACCAGGGTGGATAAATTATTATATAACCATTCATGCCTCCCTCTAATGTCAGAAGACCAAACCTTCTAGAAGGCCATTGCCTAGGATTTTGAATCTGCTACTTAGAAAACAAAATGAGCACGTGCCTAAGTGAAAACGCAGCCCTCTCTTTAAATGGATTGGGTGGAGGGGGGAGTTCTTGGCTGTATCAGGGGAAATTTCAGTGCAGGGACTGGCTTGTGTCGGAAGTAATCATAACAACTGGGGCCACATCTGGGGTCCAGTTTTCAGAGCGTGCTTTCTTTTATTTGGGGAGACAGGGTGATCAATGTGTAATTGCTTTAGGTTCAAAAGAAAGAGGCTTTTCTGTCTTTAAGTCCAGAGAAGCATTCACCCTGTCTATTTACTTCTAAAGCTTGTAAGCGCGTTTTTGTGGGTCATTTGGTTTTCGATCCCATTTCCACGGGGTATGAAGCGCAGCGCCGTTGACTCTATTAAAGTGGCGATCCCTCCTTCGCCAGGAGCGTCCGGCAGCACACTGCACAGTCTCTGACTCCTTCCCATTTCCAGTGCCATTAAGTGAGTAAGTGTTACACGTTTTCTCTTAGGAGAGTAGCTTTACCCTCCCCTCCCTCCCCTTCTACTCAACCTGGTGACTCATCTCTCCGATTGCAAAGAGCAAGACACGCCACTCCGCCTTCAACGCCAAAGCGGGGATCTGCTGGGGCGCAATTTGCAATTTAAGGAAAACCCCCAAAGGCTACAGGCGACCTGCCGATCAGGAAAGAATTTCGCTCTTGTCAAGTGCACCATCCTTCATGACCACTAACTTTATGTTTTTTTTTCTTTCCTCTGTTGTTCTGTTTCCTATTTTGCCAGGAAGTATTTCCATAGTTGCTGAGAATCAAAGCACAAAAGAAATCCCTACCTATGTAAATGTTTGAATGGAGGACGCCAGTAAAAACAAAAACAAACAAAAATAAAATAAAAACAATCAGAATCCAAACAAACAAACAAACAAACACTCACTGCATCGGGACTTTTTAATTCTTCAGACACAGACAACAAGGGTTTTTAGCTTTAAGCCTGTGCATGTGGACAATACCTTGAGAACATGCTTGGAGGGGCAGTGTACAGGTGCTCTATTTTAATGGAAAAAACACTCCCCTCCCCCTTTCTCCCCCTCTCTCTTTTTTCTGATCGGTCGTGTTTGTAGAACATTCATAACATATAGAGGCCAAGGAAATCTGCATGTGTTTTTGGAAATATTCTTGGCCCTAGATTTAACAGCTCTTTTAGCACTACAGGCTGATGAGTGGATTAGCCACCCCAGCCCCTTTCATAAGACACAAAGACATGCACAGGAGTGTAAAACCCTGAGCTGTTTCTCCGTTCCACTCCCCTCATTGCCATTTCCTTTTCTAAGTTATCTCTGGTAGCTCTGTTGGCCAGTGGTGGCCACAGGGCTGCTTTTTGCATTCTGTATGGCCACAGGGACGAAGAAGCGAGTTGAAGTTCCACATGTTCAAGCAGAGTGATGAAGGCAGGCAGGGGGGCAGGCATGTCAGAAGTGGACCTTTCCATCACCCAGGCTGTCCCTCACAGCTTCCCTACTCTCACCCCAACCTACACAGAACAGAGAATCCCAGTTACCCATCATCTGGCCTCCCCATGTGTTTGCTGTCCATGTGTGATTATGATCTCTTGATGTCTTTGTACCTCTTCCTTCCGGTTTCCAAGTTGTCTCTCAAGTCCCCCTACATTTTTCTTCCCAAACACGTTGCTAGATTCTGGACATTAACCTCGGTATTTCCTAAATACTGGCCTAGCCTCTGCCTACCTTGCCCTTGCCACATTCAAGTTTCTGACCCGTCAGCACGCCAGCTTCCCTACACCCTGACCAAGCTGTCCTGCGATGCAGGTTCAGCTCCATATACCCTTTGTCTCCTCCTGCCTCTTCCAAATAGCCTTGCCTTTCCTCACCTGGAAGCATACAATGTGTGGGAAAGAGTTGATATATATGCAAAGCAATTCAGACCTGGCCATGTACACTGGAAAAGAAAGCAAACAGATGCGTAGTGGAATTTTCACACCTGAACAAAAATCTCTCGTGTGCAGATTCCAGAACAGTCTTGCAAGAAATGTTTTGAACATGTTACTATGTGGCAGGGCAATTTCCTTCTGTAATGGTTGCTATTACCTAATATTTGTTCTCTCACAGTAGAGTAAAAATATTTGTAAAATAAAACTGATTTTAACCAGAAGAAGAAGCAGGTTAATGTATTTAATACTGAAGAGTGTCAAAAAGTCTGAGAACATATGGAGGTCTTTTCTTACATTAGGATGTGATTTTGATTATGAAGGATGAACCCAGACACTCCACATGTGTGCTCTCTGATCTCTGAGTATCGTCGTATTGGCAAAGGAAAAATTAATAAGCATAAAGGGGAGGAGGTGGATGTCTAACTAAAGCAGAATGGCTCAAAGCATGAAAAAATCCCCGTGTGCCCAGGGCAGTAATGAAAGAAGGCCCAGAGAAAGAAGGAAACAAAAGTACATCCAGCAGAAGCCCTTGGAGGATTATGAGTTGGGTAAATACCACTCTAAAATAGAGTAGAAAACAGTTTTGAAAAACCACTCAGAGCGAGCAGCCTCCTTCTTGGCCGTGTTCCCAGGCCAGTAACAGTTTATAGCAGTGTCCCGGGAATAATGGGGGCGACCCAAACGTCTTGAGGAGCCCTGCCCTTATGTAGCCCAGGCAGAAGAAGAGTAACAAAGCCACAGTCAGAAGTTAATCAAGCAGAAGTTTTTGTGGTTGAGGATGCCCAGTGTGGATCCGGGAAATGGATTATGCCTGCGGCAGCCATCTGTTTGTAGAAATCAATTGATCCCCAAACTGCCAGGCTTCCTGTCCCATAGGAAACATCCTCATCGATCCACTTCAGTTGGAGCCACCCAAGTTTAATCTGGAAGACCAAATGTTGGGAAGAGAAAAGAGGCTCCCTCAAAACAGCCCAGGGGGTCCGCAGAGTTGCAGTTCAAGTAATTTTAACTGGAAAATTATGAGAAATGGAAAAACCCTCTTAATTTAGCACAGTGCCTTGCCTACAGTAGATATGAAGAAACTCACTCATTGAAGGGAGAAATGAAAAGGCTCCGTGAGAAGACATAGGGAAGAATGGGCTTGTAAGTCCTAATTAAAAATCGAGGTAGACATGAGATGCCTGGCATTTTCGAAACCGGTCACAGATGGCCAGCTCTCTGGCCAACATCTCCAGGGTCCTCATGTGCCTCTCCTCCAAGCTCCCTCCCACCTGTAGGAAATTAGTGAGGCTAGGTACTGCTCAGAGGGGGCCTCATTGTTCTTATGACCTAGCTCTCTGGTTCTCAAAGTGTGGTACCTAGACCAGCAGAATCAGCATCACCTCAGACTTATTAGAAACTTGGGGTCCCACTACTGCAGACCTTCTGAAACAGAAACTCCAGTGGGTGGGGGCCCAGCAGTCTGTTTTTACCAACTCTTCAGGTTATTGTGATGCACACAGAAGTTTGCGAACTGCTGCACCCTGCCATTCCAGCTCAATCCCAAAGAGAACGTAGTAATGAGAGCCTACAAATGGGAGGGACCCAAGTGCCTACCTACTCACTAACAGCAGGTGCAAACACAGTAAGGAGTTTGGTGGGCCAGAGGAGTGAATGGGGAGGGACGGGTGTGGAAGGGAAGATTCAGGGCAAGCTAAAAATCTGAAATTGCAGTGTTTTCCAAAACTCCCAGAGGACAAACAGTGTATGCTCTACCCTGAACTACCCAGCTGACACTTTCTCCTTTGCCTTATTCCTAATTGGATTCACTGTCCAGAATGCAGAGGTTTGCTTTACTTTTTTTTCAGAAGTTCCAAACAGCAATTTTGAGAGCAGTGGGGTGTTTGGCAGCCGTTCTGTGTTTTCCAGAATTCCAACTGAGCATTGAAATCCCTCATTTGCCAACTTATTTTTATAGGAAGCCAATTTAAAAAAAAAAAAAAGAAAGTTTTCTTATAGTATCGGAACTACTTCTAATTTTCAAATGACTTTTTTGATGTATTTTTTTGTTAAATACTATGTAGTGTAATGTATAATTGCTCTTGTTTATTGCTTTTACAATCATATTTATTAAACAGATAATGTCTCTAAAGTCTTGGCCTCAAGGAGTGTATTTTATCTCCCACCAAACCGTGGCATTCAGTCTCCATACACGAGCGATGCAACAATAGGATTTTTATAAAGGCTAACTACCTATGCGAGAATATAGTCAGTACCACAGTCTCGAAGGGATTTTCTGTTTGTTTGTTTGCTTGCTTGCTTGCTTTTTGTGTTTGCTAACAAAGGAGAGTACGGTCTACTACCTAAATCCTACCTGCATTTTAGTTGACTACATAATGTCGTTGCTTTATTAAATTACATCATTCAACTTAAAAATCACTCCAAGCTGGTTACTTTGGAATGAGTAACATGCTCGTTATATTCAGTTCAAAATTAGAGATTATCAATAGGGGCCAAACCCATTCAAATTGTTTAAAATCCTGTAGTTACCGAAGGAGCGAACCTCCATGTGATATAATGAAAAACCTGGGGAGCGCTAAAGACCCAGATGACAGCATAAAGAAGCCCTCTCCCCGAAGGTAGGAGAGTGGAGCTCTCCTTTTGGCTATGCCAGCTGTGCGACCTTGAGCAAAGCACTTCCACATACAAAAGTTTTAGCATCCTCATGCATATGATCTGAAGGAAGAAGAGAACTTCCAGTTTTGGCCTTCTGAGTGGGTGAGTCATTCCTAAGAGTCCTGTACAGCCGATTTAAGCCTGATGGAAAACAATGAGGTAGACTGGATCCCAAATCCTCCAGCCTGTGGCTTGCCTCCATAGGTGCCATCTCTTCCCAGGCAACATTTTGTCCTTATGTTTTGTACAGACAGAACCTTCCTTAGCCTTCCCAAGACCCACCAGGCTCAGAATGGCATTACTTCAACAGCACGGTCCTCAGGATTCCTGAGAGTCCCTGTTGTTTTTAGGGATTCAACCGTTCTTTTCCCACAGGCTAACTCTTCCACCCGATCCTTCATTTTTTTCCAGGCCAGAGCCTGTGCTGTACTTCCCGATCAGGAATGTAACTCCTATTTCCCCAAGGGTACAGGCAGCCACACAAAAATCATCCCTGGAGATTTCAAACTAAGGACAGGAAATTGGTTTGCACGAGTAACTCAAGAGCCAAGATGCCAAACAGGAAAGCGAGGCAATGCCAAGTTTAGCATCAAAAGGAAGCTTCTACTTTCCCTGGGCTGGAAGGACACAGGGATTCCTAGAGCCCAGGGCCAAGACCGCCAGCTTGACCCTGAAATCATGGAGGTCGTGGCTGGCATGTCCTGGAACCACAGAGGAGGCAAGCGATAGCCGGCCATGCTGCCCAAGCAAAGAAGATGGAGAGAGGGAGCTTGATGTTCCCCTTGCTTTGGCCCTCCCATCTTCAGCAGAAGCTTCCCACTGGCCAAACCCGTCCACAAACCAGTGGGCATTGGACCTGGGAAATGTACTTTCCTGAAGTACAAAGCAGAGTAGGGGAGGAAAGGGGAATGGACTTGAGAGAACACAGGCAGGTGACTGGTGCAGCACCTCTTTCGAGTTCAGCCCACTTCAAATCCAAACTCTCCCAGAGTCCAAAGGCAGGTAGTTAAATAGTAGGCACTCCTTGCCCTGTGACACTCTTTCACGTATTTCCCTTTGAACAACACGTATTTAAAACTTAGCAATATGTTTATGTGCACCATGTTTTACACCTTTCTCACTGAATTCTACACTCCTGTAGGGGAGGATCTTTATTTTATCTTTCATTTCATTCCTTCAGCCTCTAGCACTGGACATTGCCATCAGGGGGCACTAGATAAATGTTTGCTGAAACTCAACCCTGGATTTTTAGCTCCCTGTAGTGGTCAACAGTCTCTTGAGTTGCAATCTGTCAGATTCCCCTTACCCAGCCAGCACCTCTAATTACATGTTCTATCGGTGTTTGTTGAGAACCCACAAATTCTTGCCCTTCATCTCTCTTACCACTCAAGCTGCTATATTCAGAGGCCTGTTCTTACATATTAACGTAAGTGAAATAATTGTAGTTTAGAAAAAGAAGAAAATGGTTAGAAAATAGTATGAAAAACAAAGGCCTAAGTTTGTTTTCTGAGTCATTATGTGTATACCCAGTTCTTAGGTGTTAGTAGTGTTTTGAAAATCTTTGTGAGGCTGATGCTTTCATATTAGGGAAATCCCAAAACAATTCTAGATGGACACATATAAGGAAATAGGCATTATAGTTTTCATGTTAAGTACCAGAAAAATAATCTTCAGTTGACAAAACACAAATATTTGTAATCCCTGTGTGTTGCAGAATTCTTTAGGTGATGATAATATAACTTTGAACAAGGTAGATAGGCTATCTGCCTTTATGAGTATATATTTCTAATAGGAACAAGGAACAAATAATAATATGTAATATAACATATACAATGGTATCATACCTATAAGATAATTTTGATAAGGGGGCACCTGGGTGGCTCAGTCAGTTAAGTGTCTAACTTCAGCTCAAGTCATGATCTCATGGTTGATGGGTTTGATCCCCACGTCAGGCTCTGTGCTAACAGCTAGCTCAGAGCCTGGAGCCTGTTTCAGATTCTGTTTCTCCCTCTCTCTCTGACCCTCCCCTGTTCTCTCTCTCTCTCTCTCTCTCTCTCTCTCTCTCTCAGAAGTAAATAAAACATTTTAAAAAAAGATAATTTTGATAAGTAAAAATTAAATAAAACACAGTAGAGAGCAGAGTGACCAGGGATGGGAGATAAGATAAGATAATACTTTAAAAGGGTAGCTCAGTGGGTTAAGCATCTGATGTCAGCTTAGGTCATGATCTTGCAGTCTGTAAGTTCAAGCCCCACATGGGACTCTGTGCTGACAGCTCATAGCCTGGAACCTGCTTCAGATTCTTTGTCTCCTCCTCTCTCTCCACCTCCCCTACTCACACTCTATCTCTTTCAAGAATAAACATTAAAAAAATAATAAAATGAAAGTTGAGAAGGAACCAGCCATTGGGAGACACATTCATTGTCCCAACTTATTTTTTAAATTTTTTTTTTAATGTTTTTATTTATTTCTAGGAGAGAGAGACAGCGTGAGCAGGGGAGGGTCAGAGAGAGAGGGAGACACAGACTCTGAAATAAGCTCCAGGCTCTGAGTTGGCAGTCAGCACAGAGCTTGACTTGGGGCTCGAACCCACGAACCGCGAGATCATGACCTAAGCGAAAGTCGGACACCTAACCGACTAAGCCACCCAGGCGCCCCCATTGTCCCAACTTATTTAATGTCAATCTCAGATCAACCTCAGCAGAAAACAAACAGTTTTGGACTTCAGCACAGCAGTGAGAAATGCTTCTGAGATTAAAGACAAGTAGCTTTCACAAGGGTCATGTGTAAGAATTCTCCCAGGGAACTCTGTATACAGCCAGTTCTGTTATGTGACTTATGTGTTCCCAAAATATCACCTCATGATGCTAAATAACACAATAAAAACACAAGGCTTACTAAAGGAAATGGGACCAGGACACAACACACAACAGACACAAACATTTTTATGTGTCAATGTGGAATGTGTCAGTGACAAATTAATAAAAGATACAAACCTTGCTCAGCCCATTCTACTGTTACAATACCAGAGACTAGGTGGCTTATAATTAATACATTTATTGGGCTTCTGGAGGCTTAGAAATCCAAGGTCAAGGTGCCAGCAGATTCAGAGACCTGTTTTCTTGTCTCATAAATGGCACCTTTTCACTGGGTCCTCATAGGGCAGAAAAGGCAAGGGAACTGTCTTGCATCTTTTCTGTAAAGGCAGGAATCACCTCCCAAAGGCCCCCACCCTCCAATACCATGACAGTGGGCATGAGGTTTTGTATACAAGAGTTTGGGAGGAGACATAAACAATCAGACCTACCAAAACCTAATAAAAATGGCAGCACAGTTTTTATGTGTTAAATGGCTAAGAAATAAACAGATAAAAAACACCTTGAAAAAGACCTAAGGTTGGCTTGTGAAAGAGGGCATTAGAGTGCATATAGCCTGTGAGTTGTTGTAAAGTAAGTTATTGTGACATGAGTTATTGTAAAGGGAGTTATTATAAAGAAGGAGAGTTACCTGAAAAATATGACAGAAAATTATTAACACCAAATGGGTGGTGTGGCTTGGATCACATAAAGCAAATGGAGGTAACTGGTAGATGCTAGAGGGGTATGTGTGTGTGTGTGTGTGTGTGTGTGTGTGTGTGTGTGTGTGTGGTGTTACACAGCTGAATTTAGCTAGGTATAGTTTTGTGTGTTCACCTAATGTTTCTTTTGGCAAAATCACACATAAATACAAAATTTGCATGATCTTCAAATTCTTCTCTAATATATCCCATTAGAACAAATGTACATCTTCAAAAACATTTTATCACAGAACTAACAGTAATTTGGATATTAGTTTAAAAGTAATTTGAGGGGTGCCTAGGTGGCTCAGTCAGTTAAGCGTCGGACTTTGGCTCAGGTCATGGATCCCACAGTTCGTGAGTTCGAGCCCCACATCAGGCTCTGTGCTGACAGCTCAGAGACTGGAGCCTGCTTCAGATTCTGTGTCTCCCTCTCTCTCTGCCTATCCTCTGCTCTCACTCTCTCTCTCTCAAAAATAAACATTAAAAAAAAATTTGTAAGTAAAAGTAATTTGGATATTCTGATAGAAGAAGTCTAACTTGACCCCAGGGAGAAAATATAAGAAGGTAGAGCCAGTCTTCATCCTCATCACTCTCAACCTGAGCAGTGTTGCTGTGAGATCAGCAGCCTGCCTACTAGCACAGACCTCAGAGCACCACTCAGTTCCCACCAACTTCAACAACTCATGTTTAGAAATATG